CGCGCTTAGACCGTATTCTTCATTAAAATATGCTCATTTTGTCGAAATGGAAGATATGGTGAGCAATTTATATTTAACTAGATATCTTCGAATGTATAGTTGATTGTCACAAATGCAAATTAGGCGGTTTTTACAAGAAACATCTTACAGAAAAGTAAACAATGTACATTTATTGATGGTCTTCGTCATCGGATTTTTCAATATTCTTACAATGAGCGTTACATTTACATTCAGTACAACAAAATACATCCTCTGTTTTGCAAATGCACTACTGTGTTGAACATGTTTTTTCTGTACGCAGTAAATTCATACACCCAAATGGTCTACTGGTTAGCGCTGTCGACTTTCAGTCTGAAGGTCCAAGGTTCGAATCGCTGTGAACTTGAACTTTTTTTGCAACTTTTTTGTTTTTTTACTTCATTCTGGTTTTCCTTTTTCATAAAATATTTGAAGTCAAATAGGTTAGTGCGTTTAGGATAATCAGTCTCATTTCATTCAATTTTGTTGAAGAACTCAACTTTTGAAATATATTATTAATCAATGTGTTTCTACACTCCATTCGGTTTTCCTTCCACAAAAATATTGCAATCAGGGATAGGTTAGTTCGTCAAGGATAAATAGTTTCTGAGTTTTGCCTAAGTACTTCGAAGATGAGACATTACGGTCGGCGTGGTTTGTGCTAGCGTACAGTATATTTAGTAAAATCGCAGCCAGGAAAGAAGTTGTTTTCTGTTGAATATACTGAAAAGGAATTGATGATTTCATCACATACCGAATGCGAATTCTCTATGTATTTCCTTATATCTAAATAAACAGGTGCGGAAAAGTATGACTTTCGGAATTTGTTAGGTAAACTACATTTTCGTCTAAACTCGACAATGCGAAGATCAATTATTGTTTTATTGATTGTTCTATCTCAGATTCACAGAGGCTGTTCAAAAAACTGCTTAGGAACTGGTGATGGGTTCAGTTTTGACGAGTGGATATGGTCAGTATCATGGAAAATTAGTCTTCAAGTTCTGAATGGTTGGAGATGACATTTCGAGAATTACACAGATTAATATTAGCTTTGAGTATTCACACTCAGTTTTCATTCGTAGGTTACCCGATTTCATCTTCGAATTTTGTCCGCCCTATATCCTATTTTTATCTGGTGGCGCCTATGGTCCAAGGTCACCTGATATAGATCAGAATCAGAATCAGATAGACAAGAACGTTTATTTAATAGCTTCCATAGTGAGTTTTACAAGAACGTTTATTCAATGGCTTCCATATGTATGTATGTATGTATGTATAAGCATTTTTTCATCAATCCCTATCTACAGCACCGCACTAATTATCCTTAATAAAGAATTCTCGAAACTAAATTCCGTAGCTGAACTTCGATTTCAATCTAGTTTCGTATCACCTTCTTCCTTTTTCTAGAAATATGGGTACAAAATACAAAATGAATGAATTTGGGTATGACATAGATTCATATAAAGAACATCCAATATCTTGTACCTATCTATAATCAAACTTTGAAAACTCCAAAGTTTGTTGTAAAAAAAAGTTGTAAAATTTGTTTATCCGTCATTCGGTTGCCCCCTTACGAGCAACCCTCAGAAGTCTTCGAAAGTCTTTTGCGAGCAAGGAATGACGGGGGCCTTACCTTTTAACGTGATGTGATCCAAAACACTTGTAACATGCCAAACACCTATTTCTTGAACCCTTCTCTCAACTGACTTTAAGGAATTGTAGTTTTTAAGAAAATACTTCAAATAAACACTTTCTTCTCCATATAGCAAAGAAGTTAGGTGACGTTCATATATTTCATATTGAAATGTGGTCATTCATCACTTCATATCATATGAACGATCTTGTTCTCGAGTGTACAAGAGCAATAGGAACATAAAAGCAGGTCGAACTGAAAGTATACGTAGAATCCCCACATGACGTGAGAGCAGGCAACACTGTGACCGGCGTTCGCTCTGCGCGTGGCTGGTAGGCCTCTCTGCAGTCTGTCATTTTACGGTTCTGCTGCATTACATTCTGATGAATTCCGATTCTGCCAATGTACGGTTTTGATTTTTTACGGTTCTGCTGACGTACAGTTCCTATATTTCACGATTCTGTCGATGTACGGTTCTGAATTTTCACGATTCTGTCATTTTACGGATCTAACATTTTACTATTCTGCTGAATTACGGTTCTGATAGTTTACGATTCTATCACAATACAGTATATGACATTACAGTCTGATGAAGTACATTCTGTCATTGTACGTTCTGATATAATATGATTCTGATGGAATACGGTCTGTTGTATTACGAGTCTATCGATGTACGGTTCTAGCATTTTACGAATCTTTCAATTTACAGTTCTGATATTTTGAGATTCTGTGAATATGCTGTTCTGATTTTTTGCTATTCTGTCAATGTACGGTTCTGACATTTTACTATTCTGTCGATAAACGGTCTGTTGTATTTCGATTCTGACAAAGTACGGTCTGCTAATGTGCGGTCTGTCATTCTGCGATTCTGACGAATTACGGTCTGTGTTGTTATGATTCTGACGAAATATCATTCCGCTGTGATGTTGGTTTGTTAGTTTTCGATTCTGTATATATGCGGATCTGCGATATTGCTATTATAGAAAAATACACATCTGCGCATTTGCAATCTGTTATTGTCTGGTATGCTCATGTACAGTATACAAAATACGGTTTGAGGGATTGCGGTTCTGTGCATCTACAGTAGAGATAAATACGATTCCTATAAAATATTGTTCTGTTAAGTTACTGGTTTGAAAATGTATATTCTGATGGATTACGGATCTGCGATTTTACATTCTGGTGATTTGTGTGTTCCCTTTATAAGGCACATGAACCGCTAGTCAGACATTTTATCTGCAGGAAGAATAGATGCGTAGGTACTACAAGTATAGTTGTAGTGAAGGAAGAGCAAATAGAGGTGTTGCCGCCCGTATAATGTGGTTTTTGATTGAAGTTCGTTATTATTTGTGAACGGTGCTTTGGCTGATGTATTTATTCTTCTTGAAAAAGGCTAATAACCTGTATTGGCCTTGCGAACTCTTGAGTGATGTCTAATTAATTGCTTACCTATTTATCTCACGTTTGTGATCTAACGCTCTTACTCAGTCGAATCAATTCGTGACATTTTCAAACGCTCCCATACCTATATACCACCTAGGAGGTAGAGGTGTTGGGATTTTCTAACTTTCGGAGGTTATAAGTTTAGGAATACTTCCATTGGCAAAGAATTCCAAAGCTTTGCCGTTTTATGGACGAACGAGTTCTGATAAAGTGTTGTTCGATATATTTCAAGGTTGACAACGAAAGGATGTGCTGACTGGGCCTGTTGTTATTAGGTTTCTTCAGTACATTGAAATCGTTTTGGAATATCAATAGATATTTCTCGATTTTTGTATAGTTCCCTACTAATTCAATTATGGATAGACTCCAATAAACCTGAATAAATTTGATCAGCACTTGTAAAGGTATAGGTAGTGTTTTTGACATTTTAGTAACCTACCTAGTTGTTCACTCTGGCACACTGTGAAAGGAAAATTGAGTTTTTGGTTTGGAAAAATTGTTATTCACAAAATGATAATGAATTTGTTCGTTTTTCCAAAATAAATTAATGAGCTTTCAGTATCATTGAATATGATTGGAATTTTTCAGCGCCATCTATATCATGTTGACAAAACTGAACAAATCTGTAGGTCTCATTTAGGTATGAAAAATAGTTTCCTATGATACAGATTAGTTCAGCTCATTTCTTTGACGGTAGATGTCTCTTCAAGAACCTTGGAACCTTTATCTTTCAAAACGTTTTCCGTACTGCCTATATCAAATCAATTTTTTATGATATAATCGATCGATCGAAATAACTAACTCAGATTAGATTTTTCGGTTATTTTCACCACAACACAGACTTCAAAAAAATAAAGAATCCAGAACTGTAAGGACTATAGAGCCAAAATCGGCAGCACATCGTTTTTGAATAGAAAAATTTATAATCATGCCGCATTAAAATTTCCGGATCCTAGACATATACCTACCTAAAGAACTAGCCAAAATAATTCCAGATCTGTCGTGACCAGAGTGAAAATTGGCACTGATTCGGAATAAACACGTCATTTCGAGTCAGAAATAGGTGTGCCATTTCAGAATTTTCGGATTTTTTCTCAACAGGATATAGACCCAAAAACTCGGAAAATCGGATAGGACTTTATGCAAAATTGGCATGGATGTCAGGTCAGACAAAGGAAGAAAGGAGCAGCTTCAAATTTTCAGATTCACTCTTCACAAGATAGACCTACAAAATTATAAAAAAAATCTATGAGAACTTTCTGGCAAAAATTGGCACAGATTCGGGATCAGAGTACACCTCATCAATGTGAGTCAAGGAAGATTCAGATTCGCGATGGAATTGAAATAATATCATTCTATATGGAAACATGCTTTATAAAGAATATTTATCGAGTGAGGACCGAATTAATTAAACAGTGATCAGCATTCCACAGAAAGTGGACATTGTTCAATCTGAACATCTGTTTTGCAACTGACTTATTACTCCTCCTGGCGCCTTCCATTTCATAACACAAATTATATTTAGAATTGCTCTTCTCTATTCTCGATGTGTCAAATATGTAGGTTTGCATTAGTGTGCAATCTGGCATACTGCATGTGATAAATTCGAGGAGTTTAAGAAGGGTCAGTGAATGAATAAAACGATGTGTTTGTTCATTTTAGAAATTAAGGTCAACTTATATGAATAGCCAGAATAGGCGCCAAAGTTATGTCGAATATACGGTCATATTAAGATATCTTTCAATTTATTTCTATTTGCGTTTTATACTTGCGACTATTTTAGTACAGGATGTGTCGAAATTAGAGCGTACAATTATTGGACTGCAATGTTTGTTTACGCGTATTTCTGAAAGCATCATCTCAAAATAAATAGTAAACTCAGGGATGGGGGTATTGAAATATATACAAGAGAAAATATTTTATTTTCCTACTTACACTATTTACAATCTAAATATTTACAGTTAACAAATCTAACAAAAATACTAAGTTACCACATTTGTACCACGTTTCAAAAAAAAATCGTGCCAAACGAATTCACTCGTAGTAAATTTAAATTAAAGGTGCATTTCGATTTTGAAAAAGTTAGAGGGTGAGGGCCAAATTATCATCAATGTAATCAACGAATCACTAAAAACTAGCTAACATGGCCTCCTTATATACCTTTACATTTCGGGAAAGGTCCTATCGTTTCGAGAAAAAATATTGAGAGCAGATTAAAGAGAGATGAATAAGTTACAAATAAGATTGTATTTCAACTTAATTTTTACTTCTTTGGTGTGTATATTAAAAAAATATACGATCGTATGTTCCAGTTTTGTAGTAAAAACTTTATATCAAGTAATATACAAGTGTTAACATACAGAAACAAAAAATGCTTTCACAATTGATGTTGAAGTGAATGATGAAACTGTACATGTTGATGACTTAGTCCTGAGACTTGGTCAAAAATCAAATTCACATCAGCACATGCATTTTTCGTTAATGTACAAAAATATATTCCACTTGTGATGTATATAACATGATCGATAAATAATTTATATTAACATTTGCAATTGATGTCGGACCAGCCGAAATGAATCGTAATAAAAATCACTTGTCATACACACCACGCGTAGTTAGGTACGTAAAGTCAAATTGAACACAACATCGGTCGAGATTATGTCTAGACAATACAAGCTATAACACATATTTTTGAGGAGGGCGTTGATCATAGTGGAAAAGGCACTCTTCGTTGGTCCCGATACTCTCGTGCCTCACCCGTGGGACAATCGTCTTATCGTCGTTCTATTCGCTACACATCTCTGAGGGTCACCTACTACAACTGGGTTCTATGACACTTCGCCGAACGGCGAATGGACAAGTCGCAGAATGGACAGACGAAACAGACCGGTGGACACTTTGCCGAAACTGGTCATAAAACGACGTTCAGAACTTGGTTGTGTTAATCAGAAAGTTCTGTTTTATTTTCGTTTTTTGCCAAAAAAAAAATTGATATACATGAATAAATACCGCTAATATTCCAAGCAAATACAATATCAAATTCAGATGTGAGCACTGGTGAAACAATTACCATACACACAGACAGTCAACGTGTTTTAACACGTTTCGGCAACTTGTCCACTGGCCCACTGACTTGTCCAATCGGTGCCTTTTCCATTCGGCAATATCCGGGTCCCTGCAGGCAACCACAGAACTATAACCCATAGTAGAATGGATAATATTAAGATTACGTTTACCAAAGCGTTTATGCAAGGGCAAATTCGAGCGTAATGACGCACATGCGCAATAAAGTTGTGTTCGGAGTGGACTTGAAACATGGCTATTTGATATGAGTTATTTGTACGGGATGGTCAGTACAAGGGGATTTTCAATACGTGGACCAATTCTATTATCGGAAATAACTGTAATACAAGTTATTTTTTGGAAGATACCTATTCCTTTGAAAACTATTCGACTTGAAAAATAGTTGATTGATTGCTTCAACTAGTAACTTTCACATATGAGAAGAGAAATAAATTATCAAGATTCGAAATTATTCGAATCAATCGATATAAAACATAATTGAATCAGCAGATATTTTTGTTAAAATCAATGTCCTAGCTGCGTCATGAAACACTTTATTTTATGAAAATTTGAAAGTACCCATGATAAATCAAGTGATTCAAATAAACATATTCTATTTACTCAGTATGAGATGAAAAAAATCAAGTAACAAGAACATTGACACTATAAGGAAAATCATGGATCCTGATATCTCATTCTGAAAGCGATTTTCATTTTCACAATTCCAAAAATACTAAAAATTCACTCAATTAAGGTTCCCATGAAAAAATAGGAACTCAGGATTTCTCTCTACGAAGTCCCTAAGATTTGATTCACTTAATGGAAACCAGATTTCAAACCTTGACACTGCATCAAATATTTTTTCCTTGTTCTACCATTCGTATGATTGAATTCAGATTCTTCAAAATGTCTCGAGATTGTCATTCAAAAGGCCTTCTTATAGCTTGTAGCCAAATCGAGCCTATTTCTTCCTAAGCTACACGTGACAAATAATAATTCAAACACATGGAGATTTTTCAAAACGGTCTTGATACACTGAACGTTTGACATGTGATTCACCGACGATATCTGATTCCATGGATATTTCCGATGTTTTCATAACTAATAACTGTTCAAGTCATGATAGTTTCATCAAAAATTGTTTCCTGAACCGATTTAAATAAAACCAAGTTAATACGAATGTACAAATACCCAAATCAACATACGAGAACAAATAAGCTGAGTCTGCCATGTTGTGTAAACGTTTTTTCGTATAAGTTTGGAACTGATTTCCATCCTACTCTGGGTTATACTTTTGTGGGGACAACCGTCATTCTATCCCTGAGGGTAACCTCCTACAACTACACGTCCACACGAGATACAAGAAAAGTCACTGATGCAATCAGCATTATCACAAGACGAGGTCGTCCTCTGGTATTCTGTACGACCTCATCAGTGGGCAATGGAATGTTACGGGAGCTGAACCACTCACAGCAATCATCAACAATCGTGAGAGGGTTCATTTCAGCTCGTGCATGTTCTTACTCAACAGCAAATTGTTATGAGGCCCCGAAAGGTGTCTTATCAGTTCGGGCAGCGATTCGAACGACAGTGGGCAGAAGCAGCAGTTGAACCTGCCGGAGTTGCCGTCGCTGGAGGAGATCACGTTCCGGTGCACGGAGCACAGGTGCTTGAGCAGGTGGGCCTTTTGCTTGAACATCGCGACGCACAGGCGACAAGCGAACGGCTTCTCGCCCGTGTGCACTCGCAGGTGCGTCTTCAGGTTCCAGGACATGCCGAACTGCTTGCCGCAGTACTCGCACCGGTACTCGCGCACTTGCACCTAGGGATGACGAGAGAATTATGGAAAAGGATCAGTGGCATAACTTAAAGTGACTTTATGAATAGAGTGCCGATAATAGTGGGCTCTATTAGCGAAATATGACATTAGTGAATTCTTCAGCATTATGAAGATCCAATTGGAAAGTATTATATCCTAAATTTCAGTACTTGGTAGGGCCTCCCGATTGAACAAAACCTCATGAAATCGGTTTGGTATAGATTTTTAGAGGTTGTCATTATTTTGGGGTGCCTCTCGCCTTTTCGATAGGTTAAGTTTCATTCGGCTCCACACATGTTCAATCAAATTCAGATCTGGAGATGATGCTGGTCACCACATTCTTGTATTGTTATCTAGAGTTCACAATTTGTCAGATAAGTTGTGAAACACTCAGTATATTTAACAACAATACTCTGTGTCTCATACTTGGGCAATGAATATTGAAAATCAGTTGATAAGAATCATCGATATCAGGAAACAAGTTTGAATTGAAAATTCCGAAAACTTCTCGAGTCAATAGTCTAATATGAATAATGGATATCGAGAAGGCCGTTTCTGAATATGAAGAATCGAATGGGCCATGGTTTTAGTCACCATTTTTGAATTTCTTTACTGAAATGAGATTTTGTCTTATTTTCTTATCATCCTGTATATTCCACAATAGTGATTTTTTCGTCTTTTATTGTCCTCCACAAAACATGAGAACAGTTCTTCCCAATAGTCAGCTAAAGTGGAGTTCTCGAACAAAAATTCAAGAAATGAAAGACTTCCGAAAAAAAATCGAATTTTTGTACCAATGGCCGATTAAGGAGAAATCACGAAAAAGTCCCGAGATGTGGTCCCAGTGTATCAGAATATGACTGACTTTTGATCAGAAAAAAATTTCTCGAGTTCTGGCAGCATTGGTAATGTAGACCATGGTGTAATGGTTCCACTTCACACCCTGTGTAAGTCTTGTTCTGCGGACTTTTTCAGAGTGTTCTAGCTCTCTTTGTAGCCGATGAAACATCACATCGAAAACCGCATGAAGATCGGTCAATTTTTTAAAAAAATACAGGTCTCCGAAATAAAGTCAAATTATGAGAAAATTATTAAAAAAAAAAAAAAAAATTCGTACCTGCACCGCCGGTAGCGGTTGCTTGCCCCCGCCCGACGCATGCGCCGAGCTCTCGGCGCATGCGTCGTCGAAGTGTACGGGCGCGGGCTCCTCGCCGCCCGGCGCGTTCACCTGTGTCTGGCACAGCGACCACGCCCCCCACGTGTGCTCGAAGGTCTGGTAGGCGGCGTCGGCGGCGAGTCCCTGGTCGGCGCTCGGTGGGCGGCCCTTGACGACGATGCCGTCGGGGTCGGGGGGCGGGGCGGGGGCGGGGGTGTGCGTGCGGTCCACCAGGTAGGGCGGGGCCGAGAGAGACAGCGGGTGGTGGGCGGCTAGCAGGGGCGGAAGGGGTTTGTACCTGCGTAGAAGGGGAGGTGAGTCGCGAGCGTTGCTCGGTGATGCGACGCTGGGGGATACTATAGTGACTTTATAAACTAGGGATAAATGTTCCTTGAATAATTTATCGACTGTATTATATTTTGATATAATAGGAAATATCGGGGAGTTCAGTCTATCGGGCTACAAACAAACTACTTTATTGCTATGCCAAGCTTTCGAAAATTTCTATTTTCTGCAACAATATATTGGATATGAGATATGAAACATTTTGTTACAAGTGAATTCAACAAAAACAAGAACTTACTTGCAATGCGAGTTAAAATGTGAAAATTGGAATAATAATGAGTTTAAAAAAATATAAATGATGTAGACATAAAAATTAATAGGACAGTGACAAAAGTCATATAATTCATATACCGGGAGAAATGAAATTGAAAAAATTAGATTGTTGTTGAATATCTTATAAGGTAGAGTCATTTTGAATATCATCATGAACAAAAGATACTAGCGTCGCCGGAAAATTGTCTAAAGGGGAGGGGGCTAAAATTGTACTTATAGGACAATGATCTGTGTAATTTAGATATGAACATAAAAATGTGCAGGAGAATTAACTTGAACAAGGTCATATATCTTCGAATAGAAAATCAGTTTTCTTCACGGGTGTTACCAGCTACGTGTTTTAGTGCATTACTGATTAAAGGATGTGCGACATTGAAAACTGAAACTGAACTGATCTGAAATGATATAGGTTGTGACAAGTTTCAGCTGGGAGTCACTGTATATTAGATGACATCACTGACAGTGTTCTATTACCTGTGATGATGATGCGTGGGGTCCTCGATGTACGAGGGAGAAAAAGGTACGAAAGGCGGGTTCTGCGCGGGGGAGTTGTGGAACCCAGGCCTCCGTTTCCTGTGCGGAGTGACCACGTAGTTATCGGGGCTCTGCACCAGGGAGATCAGCTTGTGGTCGACCATCGGCGGCTTGAGGGGGAAGTCCTCCTGATGCTGCTTCAGGTCGATCGGCTCGATGTACGCGTTCTTCCGCTTCATCCGGTGGTGGTGGTACTGGGAGAGCTCTTGGACTGCTTTCGGGGCTATCTTGACCGTCGACTGGCCTATTTTGAGCGCGTCCGTGCTCTTTGAGTCTGGTTTCTGCGGTGGAGGAACAGAATTTCCCCATCAAAATTATTCGGGAAAATCCTCATTGCACAGTGGAAAGCTAGTTTTATCGATCTCGATGTTTTTGATTCACTCTATTTTTTGTCGAGTTACACATAGAAAGAGTGTATTTTGCATAAACTATTTTTCCACTATTTGTCGATATGAAAAGTTGCTGATTCAACAAGAATTTCGGTTTATTTGACGAATGATTTTGTTGACTTGTTAAAAATGAACGTTTACTTATTCTCAAATTGATTTATATCTTTTGATGCGCGCGAAAATGAATCTTTTTAAGATGTGATATTTAAAAAGCTGCTGATTTTCATCAAATACATCCTGTTCAGATTGAGGGAACATGAATTTAAACAATTCATTACTGTCGGTGGTTTGACTATATCTTGTTGTTTCAAAATGTCACTAAGTGTAAAAATAACAAATTAAATAAATTTTCTGGATAGTAGTAAATGCCTCCCACAATATGGAGTTTGAAAATAGGCGAAATACAAATTTGTCAACTATGTGTTCAATTGAATCAACTACAACTACTATTTCATCGAGTTCATCTACTATTTTCGTTGAATTATGTATAACAACAGTTCTCGTATTCTATACAAATGATTTTTTCTTTCATCTTGTCCTCGTGATTTCATTATGGACACCTTTTATCGAAAAACAATTCATATCCAGAGAAAAAATGACCTCTTGTGTAATTACTAGTTGATTTTATTGAATAATATCAAGAATACCAAGAGTGCCAATGATAATGTGGTATCCATTTCACAATATCTCTCCGAAATGTCCCTAAAAATTAAAATCAGATCCCTTTAAACTTTGTTGTCTCTTCGGGACCCTCACTTGCCAATGTTATATTAGAATTCGTAACACCCTGTATATTCACTTGTATGTGAATTAGTTTATTTCAACCTGATAATGGCGAACAAAACGACTGAGCTGCTGACTTCGAGAGTATTTCAAATTTTGGTGGCTGCGTAGCGCATTCACCATATCTTAGCATTCACCATATTTCAAACACGGCTATTGGAACTCGTTAGACAAGAAGCATAAATGCAAAAGCTACCATAGATTTTTTTACGATAATGATAAACAACCTCTATAGATTTGAGACACCTATCAAGATCACTTTACGACTATGATAACTATAGGTATAATATTGAAATCTTGAATTTGACCAGACTGATTATTGTTTTTATGGCAGTTTATACATGGCGAACATAAAAAAATAAATAAGCGCAACATATATTCACCGTGAGAAAGACTACGAGAGTTGAATACCGCAATGAGACATTTTTATGTTCATTAGCAGCAGCTTCACGGGGTTATCTCTTGAGGCATTTTTTCAATTATGTTTTAAAATCTGTGATTTTTCTTGGTCACGAATATACAGGTGTTTCGAAATGTGTTATCAAGATTTCAGGGGCTTATTTTCCAGGTCAAAACAATAATTTTCTTCTTATAAATATGTGTCCGCAAACGCTTCGTTACCAATCTACAGAATGTTCAAGTTTCGAGATTTTTTTCTTCATTGCTCTTTCAGTTTCTGAGATTATCAGATCAAATTCGGAACAGGTTAAGTTTTAAGGTTTATGTTATACACTATGCCGAGTGATGGTGAGAATCTATACAAGCTCTTTTTGCTCCGTAAAATTTTTTGCTGCTAGATTTTGAAACACGAAACTTTGTTTTGTTTATAAACTTATCGTCTCCTGTGAATTTCAAGCATCTGCGATTGATATCGAAAGAAAAAAATGAGATAATATTTTGTAATTGTAATGAAATTTCTTCAACGAAACAAGAAAAGAGAATTACAGGGCTTTGACTACTATTTTCATTTTGACGTTTAGGTTTGATTTGAAGCAATTGACATTATTCGAAAGTTAGTAGATGTCTCATCCTGTAAAAAAAAATTAAACTCTAGCGCTCTGTATATCTGTCACGAAGCGTTTGCAGACAGATGTTTATAGGAAGAAAGTCTTATTTTGATCTAAAAAATAAGCTCCTGAAATCTTGGTGCTGACATTAGAATCCCCCTGTAGATATACCTACATAAATGTACAATATGTGATCTTTTATTTTTTGGTTTTCATCTTGACTTTTGTGACCCCAGTTGAAAAATGTTCGTGTGTCAGCATCTGCAGAGATCTAGCCATGAATGAGAATATATTGACAGTTGTACCATCTGTAAATGCTGACCGTTCACTTGGTTCGGGTTGTGGTGATGAAGTAGACGCCAAATAAGGACCGCACTTGAGAAAACTCACCTCCGTGTTGTTCTCGTAATCGTCATCCTTTTCCTCATCGTCGTTATTCTTGGTGTTGAGAGACAAATTGACCGGATTTGGCGATCCAGAGCTGTGCTCGTCGTGGTTGTGGTCGTCGTCGTCGTCAGCCGTGTCGTCCTCGTCGTCGTCCTTGATTTCCCCCTCCTCTTTCTCGTCGTCGTCCGTCTCTCTCTTCACGTGCACCCGATCAGGGTGGTCCTTCTCGGATGGCGGGGCGCAGCTGCTGTCGTCCTCGGACTGCGGTTTGGCCTCTTCCGAACTGGAAGACTGCCACACGTCCGATTTGATCTGGAGCAGCTCGAACAGTTCCTGGATGCTCTGTAACTCGCTGGACTAGAAGGAAATTGTCGAGGTTAGGTGGAGAAGTGGCAGGTGCCGTTTGGTCATGGAAGCGGTGCTCTTTCTTCTTCCGGGTACTGTAGCCTTTTGGGCTGTACCAATATTTGTTTCACCAACTTGCACAGGTTTTTTATATGGATCCATCTTTGTCTTGTCCATATAATATACGTTTCATGTGGTCCATGCAGGGATGTTTCACTTCCTTGTTGCATTATCTACATTCAAGGTGTCCCTTTAATTCGCGATCAAGACTTGTTGCTATTTATTCCATGCCTAATGGCCAAATTATGGCTAACTTCCGAACAAACTTACTTTAGTGTTACCTGTTTTTGGCAATGTTCTGAAGAACTTCTAGCTCTCAAAGAGTATTCGAAAATGCATTATGTCCTTGCGCATAAATTATTTAGTAACTCATTTACACATGAAATTCTTCTCACTGAGAGGACTTAGTGGTCCTAGTGAATTTTTGGAATTCTTGTTCCTTAGAAATCATTTTAAATCATTACAAATCGTTGAATTTTTCTTTGAAGATTATTTATTAGAATTATTGGGATCATGTGGGACAGAGTTCTCCAAAAGTCATTAAAGATTGTCATGCATTCAATGTAATTTCTAAGACAGTCATTGGAATTCTTTGGAAGTTATCAGAATTCTTTGAAGGACATTAGAATTATTTGGAAGTCGTTAGAATACTTTGAGAGATATCGGAATTCTTTAAGTCGGAAGGGTACCTACTTCGGAATTGAGTCGAATTATCTGAAACTCATTGGAAGTATTTGGAAGTCATCGAATATTTTTTTTAAATTTTTGCAAATCTTCGTCACTGAGAAGGATTATTCACCTGTGGGCAGGTTTCGATAAACCTTCATTTTCGGAAATTAGACACAGAGAAATCAACAAACTCGAAAATTCTGACATTTTACTTAACGGATTTTCTCTCCTCGTTTCTATAAAATAAAAATATCCGTATTATTTCAATATATTTGAAGTGGGACAAATCAGATGATTTGCCCCAAAATGTCATTGCGTTTAACAAATTTTTTTATCAGGGAGTCTAAAAGAAAAATCCAGTAGCTTGTCAGTGACAATTCGTTTGAAAAAATGTTTGAAGGGAAGAAATATAGATATATTTTGAAAATATCGAATTTTTACTTATCTTTGGACGTTTCGGGACCGAATCTGCTCCCGTTCTCAACATATAAATGCATAATAATTTTCTTCGAAAGTTTTGCTGCTTATAGTTTGACACTTTTCAGTGTCATACTGATGTTGACATTTGAATGAGTGATTTTAGTCTACGAATGAGTTACAGGATGTTTTCATTAATTAATCTTGAATCTACCATTTTCATGTTCAGTTTTCAGTAGTGAATACCATGTTCTATTTATATCAACTGAACAGGAAGCAATGCTATTGTCTCCGTTTAGAAAAATGCAAGCGGATTCCTTGATTTTTTTGTTGTTGTCATCTTCCTTTCCTATGATTTTGATATTATTCCACTCTGCCATAATATGTTGTCCATCTTCAGTAAGGATCTGTTCAGTTAGCTTCGATTTATCGATATGTCTCTCCTTGATATTGTACTTGTGTTCTTTAGTACCTACTTAGAGAGGTCTTTTCGACTCAGCTGTACAATATTTTCCCACAAACACAAGGTATACTATAAATACAATTTTTTGATGATTGTTCTTCATTTTTTAGCTTTGTTTGAGTAGTAATGGATCTCATTGTATTTTCAGTTTTAAAAACAGTTTTCACTTGGAACTTATCACGAACACTTTTTATTTTTTCAGATATGCCGGCAATTTACGGTATTATATTCGTCGTTATTGATGGTTGTTTTAGTTGTGGTGTATTTTGTTTGTTTTCAATTCGGTGAATCGTTCTATAAATGAAGTTATTTGGATATGAGTTGAGTTGAAGAACATCTTTAATGTGGTGGATTTCGTTTTCGAAAATTTGTTGGTTAGATGATATTGATTCGGCTCGATCATGAAGTGATTTAATTATTCCTTTTTTGATAGTTCTCTGATGATTTGATTGAAAATTGAGGTATCTGTCAGTAAGAGTCTTTTTACGATATACCTACACTTCTTAAGAAAACATTGTTTGATTTTTTAATAAGAACATCTGCAAATGGTAACTGATTTTCATATTCAATTTCTAAAGTTAACTTTATGGTAGGTTCGGCATGTTCACATGATCTTGAAAATTATCTAGTTCCATAAGGGTATGTGGCCAAATTATGAAGATGTCATCTACGGATCTCCACCACGTTTTTGGTTGTTTTTCGTAATTTTTAATAACGATTTCTTCAAAATTCTCCATACATATATTGCTCAAAATTGGAGATAGTGGTGAGCCCATAGCCATACCGGAACTTTTTTGATAAAACTCATCATCTAATTGAAAATATGTAGTTTTACTAATCATAGGAAAGGAAGATAACAACCAAAAAAGAAAAATCAAGGGATCCGCTTGCATTCTTCTAAACGGAGACAATAGGATTGCTTCCTGTTCAGGTGATATAGATAGAACATGGTATTCACTACTGAAAACTGAACATGAAAATGGTAGATTCAAGATCAATTAATGAAAACATCGTGTAACTCATATTTTGTAGACTAAAATCACTCATTCATATGTCAACATCAGTATGACACTGGGAAGTGTCAAACTATAAGCAGCAAAACTTTCGAAGAAAAATATTTTGCATTTATATGTTGAGAACGGGAGCAGATTCGGTCCCGAAACGTCCAAAGATAAGTGAAAATTCGATATTTTTCCAATATATCTATATTTCTTTCCTTCAAACATTTTATCAAACAAATTGTCACTGACAAGCTACTGGATTTTTCATTTAGATTTCCTGATAGAAAAATGTGTTGAACGCAGTGACATTTTGGGGAAAATCATCTGATTTGTCCCACTTCAAATATATTGAAATAATACGAATATTTTTATTTTATAGAAACGGGGAGAGAAAATCCCAAAGAATCAATTGAAATGAATATTACGTCATAGTTTGAAATACACTTCGAGGAAAATTGACTGGTTAACTTATAGTTGGCATTGTTTGTGTGGTTACCTTCGAGGAAAAATGCTTTTAATAGAGAGTTGAAGTAATCACTGTACGTAGACCTCCACGTAGACGTTAAGGTACGAAAAATAACGTTTACGTATTGTCGTTAAATTGCGTTGAAGTTGTCACTGTCATCATAACGTAATAATACATTTTGTTTTCGGTTTGTATTGGTCAATTTTGGTTGTGTGTTTAGATTCGAACATTTATTCCTGCCAAAATGAGAGGACTCCTTGATGCAGAACTCGTTGATGATCTCGAATTTGATAATTTTGACTCATCGGCATATTTCGAGTATAGTTTGGTTAACGTACGTTGATATTTAAGGTATACGTGAAGGTAGGTGAGATAACTTACACCCGTAAGCCCACTAACAACGCAAACGTGAAGAATTGGAAAATGCGCATGCGTAGCTGTCAATTTCTACGTTTAAGTTAACGTTCATGACAACACTTCAACCCTCTAGTATCAATAATTTCTACCACACACGCGAGTTACCTTGACGCACGCCTGCCCGTTGTAAAGGAAGTCCAACAGGTGGCGCAAGTGGGCGCTCTTGATCCCCGGCATCAGCACGACGCTGGGCGCCTGCGCATGGGCGGCCTCCGCCAGGATGCGTCGCACCAGCGGACTGGCCGACGCCAGCACCAGCCGGTGGGCGCTCAGCGTCGCGCCGCCGTCGCAGACGAACGTCATGTCGGCGAAGCTCGACGACGCGAAGCACGTGCCGATCTCGTCGACGATCGTCGCATGGTGTTTGCCGTAGTGCAGCGTGAGTAGGCCGTGGGCGTCGTGTTCCTCCGAGTACATGGCGGGGTGGAGCGAAGCGACGGCCTGGAAGGTTCTGTTAATACAGGGTGTGTCGAGTCTTCTCCGGATGTGATAGCTCATCCGGAAATGCATAAAAAAGTTTATATTAACCCATCCCAGGTAGAACATCATATTGACTAGAACTTGGTTTCAAATTAGCCCAATATTCGAATATTGAATATATGTACAGTGTGTCCATTTTGTGCGTAATTCTTCTATATCTCCAACGCCATAACCTATAGAACAAACTTTTTCAGTTACTAAAGTTGCTGAAATCTCAAATTAAAATCTGAACCCATAAAGGATTTTACGCAGAATCCAGTGGCGCACTCAATTTTTTTTTCGGGGTATGGTTTTGGAGATACGACCCAAACTTATGATTTTTTTAATGGAACACCCTGTATTTTATCAGCTCATTAAATTCCTAATTCTTTTTTCTTCAAAATGATATAAAATGTATAGATTTAAAAATTAATAAATATAGAAAAAAGTTCCAATTGAAGGAATATTTCCTTTGATTTTTCCATGAAGAGGACAAAAACAATAACAACACTAATTCACTAACAGAACACAAATTTTACTGATAGCAACAAATAAATAGTAATAAAAAGTTGATAATTTAAAATAAGCACCTGATTAAATATTTTCTAAAACAATTGAATTTCGAAATTTTTCAGTAACTTATTCATTGAATTGTTCAAATTGATATCCATTTTCCCCCACACACTTTCTCAATACGCCTTATGCATTCAAAATCATGAAAGGATGTCTCTGTAAATTCTGGAAAACTGCCTCTGTTCTTCAAGATTTTTGTGCCTCTTACTGTATTAAGACATATTGAAAAAGTGTCTCAATTGTGTGATAGAGAAAATGGACATCAATACGAACAATTCAATGAATAAGTTACTGAATAATTTCGAATTTGAATTGTTTCAGTAAATATTTAATCAGGTGATTATTATATAATATGAAGTTTTTATTACTATTTATTTGTTGCTTTCAGGTACTTAACTTCTGTGTTTTGTTATTAATTAGTGTTGATATTGGTTTTGTTCTCTTCATGGAAAAATCGATAGGAATATTCTTCAAATTAAAACTATTGTTACATGAAAAATCCATTGCCCACTATTAAAATTAAATTTTTTTATGATTTTTGAGCATTTGGAAGAATTTCAAATCTATACATCATAAATTATTTTGAAGGAAAAAATATAACTTCAATGAGCTTATAAAATACAGGGTGTTCAGTTTAAAAAATCATAAGTTTGAGTCGTATCTGCAAAACCGTACCCCGAAAAAAAATTTGGTGCACCACTGGATTCTGCGTAAAATTCCCTATGGAATAAGATCGAGGATAAGATTTCAATTTGTTATTTTCGCTAAGAAACTTCGTAAATATAGAGGGGGTTCAAAAAGTATAAATTTTCAAAATCACCCTGTATCTCATAAACAGAAACAGTTATGCAAAATCTGATCAGACCATCTTGAGTTTCACAAAGAGTTTCACAGGACCGCGGAAACCGCAAGGTTCTATCTCCAAAAATAACTGAGATATCACGCAGAAGCATCGAAAACTGGACACACTGTACACACTATTTATAAATATGATCATATCACCCCTGTTTATAACAGCAACTACATCCTGAAAATTGAATATCGTTATCGACCACTATTTGGAGTATTTAAAAAAATCATAGATGATAATAAACCAGCATATTTAGCAGATTTCCTAACTTAACGTCATGAACTACATAACCAGCATAACCTCAGGCATATTATAAGATCCCACAGCACAACACAACCAAATTTGAGTACATCCTACATTATGTTTTGCCCTCGGTTTTGCATATGTATCAATAGAATTTTCGAATACACAACCTAGAATACTATCTTAGAACTCGGAACAGATCTGTAGCTAGCTTGAGAATAATATGGAAAGACCTCGGGAAAGACCGAGGGGGCGACCACTCTCTGCAATACGTGTACATTTGGTCTGAAATCACTTGCAATCGTCACTGAAATCCCCTGAAATCCCGCAGTCAATTTGCAATCGCCGAAATCCCTATCTGCAATCCCGCAATCCCGCAATCGCTTTCGCAATCGCTTCCGCAATCGCGGAATTAATCGAATTCAATGATGGAGGGGATACGGCCATTTGCGGTAAACCAACGAAGGTATATTATATTTTATGTTGTTTTTCGGTTATACGTTAATCTTCGAAGAATCTCTAGTGTAGTTTGAGTTTTGTGTGAAAAAATCGACATTATGTTGGTTCTTCGCTGACAAAAAAGGGAAACTATCATCTGACAGAAAAATTCGTTGTCGAGGTATGTCAACACGAAGTCAAAATCTTGGTCAAATGAATAATTCCACTTCTTCTGCCACAAAGAAACAACAGAAGAAAAAACCGTAAAAAAAATCGACGAATCATCATGTTGAGGAAACCTCGGATAGTGAAAGTGACGTATGCTATTCTGAGAAATCAGAATTTGAAAATGAAAGTTTTTCGGAGGAAGAATCAAATGGAGAGAAAGAAACGTCAATATGCATTGAAAAGTATTATGCAGCTATTTATGACACCTGGTATATTGGACGTATTTTAGAGATCCTCGAAAATGATACCTACCTTTAGAATTAAGTTTTTGAAATCGGAGCTGGATATGTATACAGAGGCTGATCCACGGTGGATGGCCTATTAGAAGTATCTGGAGAACGAAAAGACAGAACATCTGAAAATTGGGATGCTTTGATAATTGAACATTCTCTATCCGTCTAAAATATTTTCATCGATACAGTGTTGCCACTTCTATCAGAAACAGCTAGCAACTTCGTTATTTTAAATAGAGCACCCTGCATTTTATTGAATTTTTAGATTCTCCTTGAAAAGCTGATTTCATCAATGTATCACACTTATAGGGTCTAGCAGGAATGATTCCAGAGATATAGGGTGTTCATAATCGAGATTTTTCAATTTCAGGATTTTTTTGTGTCGAGAGTATTCATTATTGATCAAAACGGTTTACATGTCCCTATCTCAACTTCCGATTCACTTTCTATAATAATAATAATAATAATAATAATAAATTTTATTCAATAAGTATCCACACAACATTAGTTACATGATGTAGTACCATGCGTGATTGTTATACATCTAGTAATACTCATTGAAAAAGACCACATTCAATGTCATAAAGCAACCAGTGATAATACAATCAAAGATTGAAATATGACCTTGTTCTTCCACATGGCCTTGAAAAATCCTAAAAGCTAAGATCCTATAAACTAAAATAACCTAGGTATGTATTATGTGAAGTACTTATATAGTTGAAATCATGCGCAATGAGTTCTGCCGATAGATTTCTATTTATCTGTACAAAGTAACAGAAGTTTCTTTAATTCGGATACCATCGATCTACATTAGATCTATGCGGATACTATATTATACGTATCTACTGACATTTAATTGGAACAGATACAGGGTGATCAGAATTCTGAATTTTGGAGCACCCTGTATTTTTTCCAATCAAATTCCAGTAGATAGTCAATCAAAAGTTAAGATAGGGACATGTAAGCCGTTTTGGTCGATAATGAATAGTTTTGACACAAAAAAATCTTAAAATTGAAAAATCTCGATTTTGAACACCTTTTATGCATAGATTATGTCTCTGTAATGATTCCTGCTAGACCCCAAGTGTGATACATCGATGAAATCAGCTCTTTAGAAAGAATCTAAAAATGCAATAAAATACAGGGTGTTCCATTTGAAATAACAAAGTTGCTAGTTGTTTCTGATAGAAGTGGCAACACTGTATCGATGAAAATATTTCAGGTGGATAGAGAATGTTCAATTATCGAAGAATCGCGATTTTCAGAATGTTCTGTCTTTTCCTTCTCCAGATACTTCTGATAGGACATCCACCGTGGATCACCCTGTATATGGCCTAATAAGGAAGATATTCAAGTTGTAGAAAAAAAAGTACATATTGTATGGGCCAATCGACTTCGTCGGTAATGGACCTTTCCGTCTTAAAAGAAATGCTATAATGAATATTGAGAAAAAATACAAAGATTCAAAGAAACCTCGAAAGAAACAGTCAATTCGCTAACATGAATGCCAGTATAATATGCTATGTTCACTTTTATAAAATGAAAAACATCAGAGTTGAAAGAATAATAAAAATGTTTATATGAGACAAAATGGTTTTTCAATAATTCCAAATTTTCTTCAATTATGTTTATACTTTATTTGGTTGTATAATCCGTCATGCTTGAATAATTAGGTAGATGCTCTACAATTCGAAAGGATTACCTATGTGGTAATTGAACTAAATCACATATAAACTCTAATTTCAGAAATTCAACATTGCAATCAAGCTAGCAAATGAACCCACAATCGCGGAAATCGTCTCGCAATCCTCAATATAATTTCACAATCCCATTGCAGCCCCTGCAATCACTCTGCATCACCGAATTCAGTTCGCAATCCTCCGAAATCGCAACAATTCACAAAGAATTCTCTGAAATCGCTGAAATCATGGGATTTCCGCAATACGTGTACATATTTTTCAGAGGTGGTCTCCCCCTCGGGAAAGACGAAAGACTATATCTCATAAGTATGGGTTGGGCTATCAACTTCTGATCAATGATTTGAAAACGTTTTAAGTGAGGTTATCGGCAAACTTTGAAGCTCAATATCTTCCAAAATATATTTCATTTTGTTTAGTTTTTTCGTCTTCTTTTTTTCATTTATTTCCCTAACGAGTTTCCCTAATTTCGGAAACACCGTGTATACGATATGACTTATTAATTGTGTGTATCAGTACACTCCTGTACTGTGGAAGTGAATCCTTATTTCTATGTGGAATTTGGATATATTTTCATTGGTTGTTTATGAATATGATAGAAATATGAGACCTATATTGGTACAGTACATCAAAAAAAAAGGTACTTGTGATGATTTCATATAATGAATGACTGAATCAAATACTATCATCATATGAAATGATCAATTTGAAATGGATTCG